AGATCAGTCAAAATCAAGAAGGTCCGAAATCCCAAACATAACTGCATTGAGGCGGGTGTCTGAGTTGAAGCAAATATTGATCTGAACAATAATCTGTCAGCAGGTCAGAAATCACCCACGTAACTGCTGTTATCTGAACACATGCATGTACAGTTCAGGTTTGAGATTCACCATGAACTTTTCAGGTATTGAGGGGCTGTGGGGTCCAAAAGTCATCTGAAAATGATTGAACACATGAATAATGGACATGAAATTTAAATTACAACATAAAATAGAATGGTCATGTGTGTAAAGACATGTTATGTTCAATAGTCACTTTCAAATTTATCTTCCTTTAGGGTGGTCGAAAATAACATGGCTGCGGATATAACGACACAAAAATAGACCAATGTTGATATATTTTAACCAAATTCAGTCTGTAGATGTGTTATGTGTTCAGGTACCAAGCGTTGAAGTCAGCTAATGTTAGTTTGCATCAACCTTCAGTTGTTTAAAACTTTTACTTTACTGACAATCCCAGAAATCCCAGAATCACAAACATCAGTCCACCGTGGTGATTCTGTGTTAGAATAGGTCCTCTGCAACCTATCCTTGTTATAAGTTTAGTGATTGGGTGGTCAGGTTCGGTGACTTGGTTAGTTGCTTGTTATTGTAACAAGATGACAGTGATAATATCTAGATTCTAAATATGGCCACCATGTCAACCATATTGAAATTGTCATCTATGCTAAATTATATTACATTGTACTTTGGGGCGTACTCTTATTTTTTTAACTGCTGTTACTTTAACTGCACATACTTCACACATGCCCTCTTCTACAACCCATGCTTGCCGTAAAAGGCGACCATGCTTGTCGTAAAAGGCGACCATGCCTGTCGTAAAAGGCGACCATGCTTGTCGTAAAAGGCGACCATGCTTGCCGTAAAAGGCGACCATGCTTGTCGTAAAAGGCGACCATGCTTGTCGTAAAAGGCGACCATGCTTGTCGTAAAAGGCGACCATGCTTGCCGTAAAAGGGGACCATGCTTGTCATAAAAGGCGACCATGCTTGTCGTAAAAGGCGACTATGCCTGTCGTAAAAGGCGACTAACGGGATCGAGTGGTCAGGCTCGCTGACTTGAATGATGCATGTCATCGATCACAATTGCGTGGATCGATGCTCATGATGTTAATCACTGGATTGTCTGGTCTAGACTCGATTATTTACAGACCGCCGTCATATAGCTGGAATATTGCTGAGTGCGGCGTTAAACAACAAACCAACCAACCAACCAACATTTACTGCATTTTCGTTTAGTCCTTTTGGTTTTGTGCATATACCGGTAAATTGGAGTGATGAATGGAAAATATCAACACTGTAAATTGCGACACAGGGGTGTATTAAATGTTATGAATTGATCAAAGTGTTAAAATGAAAATGATATTGAGAAAACAGCCACATAATAAAATATATAAGTACCCTTTATCAGAGTGGCAAATCAGTTCTAGAAATGTGAATTTTATTGGGATTCGAAACTGTATATTTGTTCAAGTTAAGGATTTGAAATATCTGGTTCTTTTTGTAATGTTGCAACATAAACATAAATACAGTCATCCCTTGCTAAAACACCCTTCATGAAATACCACAGATTGGGTTAAACTTCAGGTAAAATAAATGGGTCCCATACATTTAAATATTTCCCCCACAAACGCATTTTTAGGTCATCGGAAATAGCATATCAAGTGCCAACAAATCTGCTCTGAAATTATGCTAGTTAGTCCTGTTGTAAGGATGCACAGATGTTCTTGAGAAGTGTTCATTGTATACATCTAGACTTTGGACATATGTTTGCAATCTATTTGATTAAGTTGTCATATTTTTTTTTTTTGAAACACTATGTGCTTCTTATTTGTTCTTATGTTTTTGATCATGCAACTTTCTATGTACTTATTGGGTTGGAATTATCAAAATGGTAGCAGTTTTGGGGCACCATTGCTGAGAAATATGCCAGAAAATAAATCTTGAAAGTGTGCTTTCACTAATTGTTGTTAATAAAGTGTATAAATGGGCTGAGAAATGTGTGAATTTGAAATTTTTGATTTGAGGTTTGAGATAAAATGCAAATTTTACAGTATTTTAACAGAGCCCCAGATAAGATTTTTGATTCAGTTTTTTTGTGGTTTCAGATATCTACTTTAAAGTGATGTCATGAACTGGATGCTGCACTCTTGATTCCAACACTAATATTGTCATGACCAAATGTTAAAGTTCATATTCAGCAAGTTGAAGAAAACTGACACCATCTTTAAGTATGAGTTTCACAAATATGGTATTCAGAAGTTTTTTGTTTTCACTACTGATGTATATATAGTATAAAAAAACGGATTTCTGTAATAAAATAAAGTATTGGAATACATGTGATACTAGGTGTGTTTCCGTCACCACTATCTCATTAAAATCAGACCTTAGTTCTCGCTACCGCTAAACAAAGACCTGAAGACATCCCATTAGGGGTCACGCTAGAACGACCTTTCATTCGACCAATCAGAGCGTCGCTTACCAGATCATGAAAGTGACAGTCAGAATGTGATTTCTAATCATACAACCTCGAAAACTTTAACATTGGGTATTCCGAAAGATAGTTACGGTTTTAACGACTGAATCCATACAATGTAGACCATCTATTAGCCACTCCAGAATGTTCTTTTGTTTAGTTTTTCAAATTTGTAATCGAGAATTTGTCCAAATATGTTTCGAAGTGTAGTCGCCAATTTGAAATTAGTGCCGTAAAGCACGAGAAAGCTGCCTTCGGATTGGTCATTCTATTGGTCGGTCAAAGTTCGCACAAGGTCAGTCTGACGTGATCCGTAATGGGATGTCCTCAGATCTTTGTTTAGCAGTAGCAAGAACTAAGGTCTGATTTTAATGAGATTGTCGTCACCATAGTGTGGATGCTTTTATGCTGTTTGAGAGAAAAGTTGGCCTAATGGTCTAAAATGCTTCAACACTGCAGAGTTGTGCCGATTGGTTATGTGAGGATCCATTCTGATCACTGGTTTGGAGAATAGTGAACAGATGGACATGTGGCAGTGTGATTTGAAAGTGAGACACAAATTTCTGCAACCACATGAGGTATTGTGCTGAAACAAAGGATCGTATTTGATTTGAACCCATGACCAGTACATCAAGTTCCATCAACCATGACAATTGGGACACCTGTGCACCCAAGTTTCTTTCACTCTACTTCAGCACAATTGCAGTACCATAAAGGCAGAAATTAATAAGTAGGGTCTGTGTGACTGATAAAGCAGTTTCTTGTCACTTTTCGGCACAGTTTTATATCACAATTAGACATATATTGGGTAGGAACACTAACACTAGAACCTTACGATTCTTGTTCTTTTGAGATTCCGTCACAGCTGCGTCTGATTCAAGAATAATGCAGTTTTACATCACTGTCGGACATATATTGAGTAGAAACCCTAACCCTAGCATGATTCATGTTTATGTTGAGATTTCATGTCACCAGCGTCTGTATCAGGAATAACCCAGTTTTAGATCACTATTGGGCATATACTGAGTAGAAACCCTAACCCTAGCACCTCATGATTCATGTTTCTGTTGAGATACGAGAACATCAGCGTCTGTATCAGGAATTATCCAGTGTAACATCACTGCCGGACATATATTGAGTAGAAACCCTAACCCTAGCACCTCATGATTCATGTTTATGTTGAGATACGAGAACATCAGCGTCTGTATCGGGAATTATCCAGATTTACATCACTGTCGGACACATATTGAGTAGAAACCCTAACCCTAACACCTTATCACTCATGTTTCTGTTGAGATTTCGTGACATCTGCGTCTGATTCAAGAATAACCCAGTTTTACATCACTGTTCGACACATATTGGGTGGAAACTCTAACCCTAGAACTTATGATTCATTTTTCTGTTGATATTTTGCGACATTAGCATCTGATTCAAGAATAACGCAGTTTTATGTCACTGTCGGACATATATTGGGTAGTAACCATTACCAAAGCACCTCGCGATTCATGTTTCTGTTGAGATGATGTGGTGACATCATTATTTTGGTCCTGTCTAACTTACCATCTGTTTGGATGTAAAATCATAATCTGTAGCATGGATTGCCAGGATTGTAATGTAAGCTATAGCATGGCGGCTGGTAAATGTATTGTGGACAAGGCAAATCAGTGGCTGACAAAACACATGCCATTGGGCACATTAACACAATCAGCCATTTGACATCATGTCGTTCGGTGATGAATACATGAACACATTCATGCCTACATAATACTGTTTATACTTGTCATAATCAATCAACTACAAACAAAATTCATCATTTTGCTAGTTCTTTATTGTTGAGGAAACAATAAACACAAATGTAACACATGAAAAGAGTTTTGCCTCAAAATGCTGAAAACACAGTAGCGAACTGATGCTACTACCTACTGATCTTTTCACTAAAGTACTCACGGAAATGAAAAAAACCTGTTTTTTCGACCTCAGATCTTAAATAAATGCAGTTAATATACAAAATATGTAAATATTCAAACAACTAAATTAGTAATAATTGGGCCGTTGCACAAATACAGCGTATCAAATGTTTTATGCCTTTTTACACGTAAAAGTGTGTAAAAATGTGAATAAAACAGACTATTGTGAAACAGGGCATAACCAGTTGTAGGTAGATCAAGGTGACCTATGACACCTTGATGACAGGTGAGAACAGGTGCATAATGCCTATAGTCTGTTTCTGCTATGTCAATTTGGACTTAGTTTTATTTTTGAATGTTGAAAGTGCTGACAAATTACCTCCTGTAAAGTACATTTTGTATTGTTCACTGAGATCAAACTAGCAAATCCAGACTAGTATTTTTCGAGTTGTTTTGTTATTTCGTATTTACAGCTACGTAACACTTTGTGTCTATTTTTAAATTGCGAAAAACAGTTTTTTTTCATTTCCGTGAGTACCGGGTACTTTAGTGAGGATGTCAATGCTGACTTCAACACAGAACTCTTCTTCTCAACACTTCTTCTTTCCAGAAACGTACAGGGCATAGTTGCTCCCCCTTCTCAAAGCACACTGTATTGGGAGCTGTATATGTAGTTTAGCGTTGGTGTAAACTGATACCATCAAGTTTCATTACAGCATGGTAGTTGCCCTGGAAAGGTTGAAAATATTCACATAAGTTTGATTGAACATTTTTCATGGAAAAATAACTTATGATTTAACTTCAATATAAATAAATCCACGTAGTACACCTTATTTTTACATTTATACCCATATTAATTTAAAATTATATTGGAGTCAATTCTTTTAAATAAATATGTCAATATTAACAATTTTATAGACTCCTAATTAAGTACTTACATAAAAAACAGGAAGACAACAAAAGAAAATCAGTGACATTGTTAAACCCAATATAATGAAAAACAAGCCCCGCCCATTCTATTATCAGCCAATCAGGAAACAGTTGACCGTTTGTGGGTATGGCATACATTTATTTTAGGTTCATGGCAACATCAAGTTATGTTCCATTAAAAATGCCTGTAAAGATATTATACTTTAATATCATGTTGTCTCACTTAAATTCAAAACTTAATGGGAAGTTATAATTTGCATTTATCTCAACCTGCAAGGAATTTTTCTCAAGCCCGTTAAATGTGTCCAGGATACAAAATTAAGATGGTGTTATTACCACAAATATTGTCTTGAACAAAATTAAAATATCTTATGATAATTTGTGTACTTTTTGTAATTCACATCCAGAAACTGATAAGCATTTATTTTTTGGTAAAAGATTTCTGGCTTCTGGACACAGACTCATAATTTGTATCTGGATATTCGTGTGAAGGAAAATGTGATAACAGATGATAATTTGATCTGATTTTGTTATTTTCAAAGTATGTAAGTGTAAGGTTCTTAAAATACAACCAAATTTCTAACATTTTGTGAGGGAGATGACTGATACAGTTAGACATGAATTTCAAAAAAAGATATACATGTACTTCAACAAAAACCTGCAAAACAAATTTTATATACAGTATACTGACTCTGAGTGGACCATCCTTCTTTTAGCCCTTACTACCGAGAGCAAGACAGGGTAACAACAAGTACCATCTTTTAAGGTCTCTTGGAATGATGCTTCAAGGGATCGAATTTCTGACCTTCCGCTCTCCAAGCAGACACTCCACCAGTACACCATGAAGGCAGTCAATCAGACTTGGAATTTGATGAATTTCAATGAGTTAAAGTAACTAAGTTGACAATCCATCAGTTTATTGTCGTTTTCTGAGAACTAACAATCAACAGTACTTTTCTTATGTTCACCATTTTGTTACTTTTGTTCATTAGTGTAGAAAATTCTGGACGGGAAGCATTTTATCTGGACAGGAATATTGGCAAAGTTGCCCTTCCGGGAATTTTATACGCTGCTGTTACACAGCAACACGCTTAACATCAAATCACAATTCTGACATCATTGCTGGGATGATTCATGCCAAGTTTCAGCTTCATAGGCTTTGTAGCTCTAGAGGAGATGTTGAAAGTGTAATCGTTAATGACATACATACTAGCGGAAAAAGGTAACTATACTTAATATAAAGTCCAACAAAACTCAATCTCATTAAAATCACATCTTAGTTATCGCTACCGCTTAAAAAAGATCTGAGGACATCCCATTATGGGTCACGTCAGCATGACCTTTCATCCAACCAATCAGAGCGTCACTTACCAGATTCTGAAAGTGACAGTCAAAATGTGTTGTCTAATCATGCATCCTCGAAATATTTAACAGAGGGTATTCCGAACAACAGTTATGGGTTTTATGATTATATCCATATAATTTAGGCCATCTATAAGTCATTCCAGAATGTTGTTTTGGTCAGTTTTAATTTTTTTTAATCAAGAATACGTCAAAATATATTTCGAGGCGTAGTCGCCAGTTTGAAACTAGTGCAGTAAAGCTTGAGATAGCTGCCTTCTGATTGGCAAATGTCGATTTCTTATCAGTCATTTCATTGGTCGGTCAATGATCGCGAAAGGTCGTTCTGACGTGACCCGTAATGGGATGTCCTCAGATCTTTGGTTAGCGGTAGCGAAAACTAAGATCTGATTTTAGTGAGATTGAATTAAACTAAGTTTAATCTGAAATTAAATAATGCATCTTTCAATATGCATATTGATGAAGACATCTCCTCAGTTTAAAGGTCGTGATTCACAATTTGCATGCAGATGTTTATGGACTGCGTATAATTTGTGTGTTTGCATGTTTGTTGGGAGCAAGGTATTTACACGCGTTTTCATAATGTAAACAGCACACAATTATTGTTTAGCTATGTGGGTCTAATAAAATGTGTTCAACCGTAATTAATAATGCTGTCACGGCTTGATGACATGTTGCAAACAGGAAATGCGCAAAACGAAATTGCCAAACATTTTTAATGTTCATCGAATCACAAATATCATCTGCCACATTAATAATCGGACAATTCTTGGGTTAAGACGAATTAGTGGCAGAACTGTACGTTACCAGTTCAGAGAGCACAACATCCGGTCCCAACATTCAGCAATATGCCTAATTTTGCTTACACAGCACTATCAGTCACACTTGGTGTAGACAGCATCTGAGGTTCAGAAGAAAAACAGGGACAGTACACTATTCACAGATGCATGAGGGTTTCATCTGAACAGCTCTGATCGTCGTGCAAAGGTCTACATGCATACTGGAGAATGTTTTAGCAACTCTTGCATTACTTATCATCATCAGTTTTGGGATGGAAGTGTAATGGTGTGGGGTGGCATCACAACTCATCATTGTTATGAGGACATCGTTTGAGATAATGTTCTTGCCTTTGTGCACATGCAGGGACGTAACATCATGTTGCAGCAGGATAGTTGCCCGCCTACAAGTTGCACCCCTCTTTGGGGGCTTGTCTCTCCGTCTCCAATTACCAGGAATGGATTTTGTCAATGAATTTGTCATGATAAAACAATGATGAGACAAAAAAAACAAATATTATGTTGTTATTTACAATAACATAACATTTACACTACTTAATACACAGCAGCTACTTTTTTCCATTAGTATAGATGAACACAGCCATGACATAAGCTTATTTGTTCCTTCGCTTTGTGAAGGCTACAAGTGATCATCATCATTTCTACAAAGTTAAGTTTCAGCTTCCTGCAGAGTGTGGTTTCTCTTTTCTTAGTTTCATTCTTAATTGTTTTTCAAGAAGCAATTTCAGCCCCTCCATTGGAGAATTGATTCCAACCAAATATGGTTGATATCTATCTCTTAGTTCCAATAAAGAAGTTGTTTAAAGCAATATAGCCAAATTACTCTTATTTGGGCCCGCCACCCAGCTCTTGCGGGGGTCAGCCCACCATTTGTAAAATTTTGACTTCTCACCGACGGAGAATGCTTCCAACAATATATGGTTGATATCTATGTCTTAGTTCCAGAGAAGATGTCGCTTAAAGCAATATAGCCAAATTACCCCCATTTGTACAATTTTGAATCCTCACCACCTAGGGATGCTTCCAGTCAAATTTCGTTAATTGTCAATTTGTGGTCAAAAGAAGAAGGTTTTTTTTAAAATTGTTCACATACGGACGACGTACCCCATGGTATGGCATAAGCTCACCTTGGTGAGCTAATAGTTGTGTCAGGATGATAAACACCAGACAAGCAGGCCATGTTGTTTGTATTCAAAAAGTATTTTGTTTTATTTGTATATTTGTCGTATCTGGAAAAATAGTCTATGCTATATTACAACCAGTTTGTTTAAAGACATGCAGACATGAATCCTACGTTTCGAGGCGATCAATGTTACCTTTGTTGGGTGCAACTGGACCAAACAAGCTATTTACACCAGGCTTCTTGTAACTGGACAGTGAAACCTGTGAACATGGTATACGAAGAATGAAAATCTTCATAAGAACAAACACAACACATGACACTACAGAACTGAATGAACAAATTGTCAAAGAAAACACTGGGACAACCACATAACTTAATCCGAGTCCCATTGTGGTGCTACACATGCCAGGTGTCATTAAGTTTTAGTTTCCTTGGTTTCTGAGAAGAAAGTTCTTAAAGTTGAACAAATCAGAATTGGAAGATACAAAAATACATTTGCAAATGAAGGTTAAAAAAGTGTAATAAACACCCATCAACCTCTTCATGAAAACTTTGCTAAGGTTATCTAGGATAAACAAAAATATGCCTCACTACGTACCGTTTGAATGGGCCTGAAACTGATCAGAATTTATTTTTAGGGAATTAAATACTGGTAAAGGTCATCATAAATAGATTAACAAGATTATGCAGAAATAAGTAACAAATGTTCAGATACACCAAATGATATGAATATTTAATAATCAATGACAAATGTGAATTTTTTATGACCACTTAAATTAATGGTGCTTGGTCCAGGCAGGCAAGAGGTTGATAGCACTAACAACTATCCATGTAATTGGGGTGTAATGTCACCAAATCAGCCAGGTCACACAAAACTGACATTCCATACAGTTGCCCTTTGTGAATGATAAGAATCAAATTCTGTGACTACGTTTTGAGACTGAATTACTTGGATCATGTCCGTGTTAGTATACCTGTAATCTAGATACAAGGGTGCATGCAAAGGGTATGACCATGGCATGATAATCTGAATCTGAAATCTGAAAAGAACAGTAGATATATTTTATACCAATGTTGGAGTGCATGACAACACACATATATAACCAATCATAGCTTCACTTCCAAAAAGATTCATAGGAAATATTGCAGGTACAAGGTTATTACACTTACTGGTACATTCCATTAGTAGGACACAAAAAGGTGAAAGATGATGGCATGACCAAATGCAACATATGATCACTGAAACATAGCACATTGGAGATTGAAATATAGTATTACAGCCTGTTAAATAAATAACACCATGATACATGAGTACCTGGTCAAAATAACATTCAATATGGCTGCAATGTCGTCACCCCAAAACATCACAGACAGTTTACCAGATTCAACCTTATGGAGGCCAGATGTGCCCATTGTATTGGTGCCATTAAACTGATTCATCTAACAGAGCTCCAGATAACTTTTTGAGCAATTCAGTTTTTACTCTAGGGTTTCTATTTTAATTGGGTTATTACATTTTTCATTGGGTAACCAATATTTTTTCACTCATCTATTCATCACTCTCTTGGGTCTTTCCCAAAATTAGTGAACATTTTAAGATTTCAAAAAAATGAAAAAATGTTCTAAATACCTAGGTTTGACTCAGAAAGCAAATAAGCTTGTAATTGTGTTTCAGAAATTAGCTCCTTTGTATGCATGGTGAAAAAGCTTCATTTGGCATTTACGCGAGCTGTTTTAATAATTTGCGTTTTTCATCTAATGCATGCGTTTCTGTACACAACTTAATGGAAAGTAATTGGGTTTTAAATAATTTGGGGGGGTATTTTACACAAATACGCTGCTTATCTGTAGCTCTGATGTAATAATTTTTCCCTTCATTACCTTTTGGCTGTCCCCTCACATGACTGACAGAAATACTGTTCGAACAAACTACCCTGGGTAAAGGCTCTGTAGCTTCCCTGTACTTTTTCACGGAATATATTATTACAACAAAAAGGCAATACAAGGGTATAATAAATAAGCAAAAGAAACTAAACTATTTATCTACAGAACAGACTTTCTCACAGCATCTTGACCAATTAAAAGGATGACAGTATATGCAAGAAGACAAATTCACCATTATCCCCTAAATATTTCAATACTTGCTATGGAAACTAAATATTTGTTTAAAAAATCCTAAATTATCAAAAGGCACCAGTTCAACACTAGACCTATCTATGTGCCATGTTTGTTAAGGAAATATTGTAAGTTTTTTTTTAATCTGCATAGAAAGGAGCACTACCCTCATTTTCAGTATGAGTCAAAGTTGTGGCATCTCAAAATATCATATATGTTTTTAAATCCTAAACTACCAAAAGGCACCAGTTCAACACTAGACCTATCTATGTTCCATGCTTGTTAAGGAAATATTGTATTTTTTTTAAAATCTGCATAGAAAGGAGCACTACCCTCATTTTCAGTATGAGTCAAAGTTGTGGCATCTCAAAATAATAATTTTTTAAAAATACTAAACTATCAAAAGGCACCAGTTCACCACTAGACCGATCTGTGTGTCAAGTTTGGTGAAGAAATATTGTAGGTTTTTAAGGTATGTTCCAAGAACGATCACTACCCTCCTTTTTCAGTCAAAGATGTTGCCATGGAAACTAAAAAGATACATTTTACAAAAATCCAAAACTATCAACAGGCACCAGGTCACCACTAGGCCTACCCATGTACCATGATTGGTGAAGAAAATAGTAAACATTTTTTCAAAATCTTACACAGAAGTATGAATGCAAGGACTGACCATGTCCATTTTAATACCCCCGCAAAACATGTTGTGGGGGATAATAATTGGTAATGAAACAAGTCAAAAGAAAACATTCATCATGACTGCTGCAGCAGCACATGAAGACAAAATGTTGCAGTTCCAAACATAAGAATAACTTGCAAAATATGACCCTGTTGTTGGGTTTACCAAATAATTACTGTATATAAAATTTCATAATGTAAATGCAGAAGGGTCTTTCTAAAGGGTGAAACGTATAAGTTCAATATGGTTGCCATGTCTAGACAGCTTGAAGTTGTATTGGCATCATGTTAGTGGGATCAAATACACAAAATCTCAGCTTATTGAAAATATGATTTTCAGAAAAGGTAATGAAAACACAAACAAACTTCATAAAACGAGGTATGTGAAAGTTTAAGGCCATAGAAGGCTCAGGTAATACAGTTATCTAAGAAGCCACCTCAATTTGCTGGGCAGAGTTGCATCCCTGTCTGTCTCACAGTCCTTGAACCATATTATTTTCCCTTCCGCCAAGCCCATCTCACTGGGTCTACTTTTAAACTAAAATGAATATAAAATGTTTCTATCAATATTTTACATTTTCATAGACTAAGCTGCATCCCTTTCATATGCCAGATATCTATGACAATGGGTTCAAATCCCATAATTACCATGATTATTTTCCTTGGTTTGTCAGCACCATTTCCACGCTGGTGGGTCTCACCAAGTGGTTAATATCTAAGATGTTCTTCCCAGATCAAGCAAAAAATGCATCAATGTAAACCCCATAACACGTATCAAGTTTCATAATGCCACATCTGAAATGGCTGTGTGATACACAAAAGTGATATTTTGTAAATGGCCTCATGTTTTAGAATATCATTGCTGAGATTTCAGTTTCATAGGCCTAGTAGATTCAGAGGAGAGTTTGAAAGTGTACAAGTTAGTATTGGACAGATGACAGATAATGCACCATGACATAAGCTCATTTGACTTCAAATTGGATATTCCTGTATTCATGATAGCCTGTAGTTTGATAACAGTATACCAACTCACACCTCATAACTTAATAAATGGCTTAAGGTCTGAGGGAAAGTAATACTTTCACAATTGCCATAATCAGGTCAGTAAGTTTGCAAAGTGAATGGTTGAGTTTCAGTAATATCACAGTGTGTCGGCTGATGATCCAGCGATGAAAGACTGATATAATGAGGTACCCATAATACTACAAATGTGGTATTTCATATCATGACATCCATGATTTAATTTGATGTATGATGATTCCTCTATTGTTATCCCTGACTTTATCATGGGGGTGCATAAAGATAAATGTTCACACCACCTGTGCTTAGCTTGTGCTAAATCTATACAACAGTAATATAAATTAGCCTTAGTGTAATAATACAAATTAATGTTATTCCCAACATGTATAGGGGTAGAATACAACATACCTGATTTCCTACAAGGGTTGCACCTCAAATGTCCTGAATGTGGCAGGACACAGCCCACTAGGATACCCTGGGAATAAAAACATGTGTAGGTCTAAATTGGTACTGATATTTTGACATATTGGTTGCAAAGGGAGGTAATCAATGATACATAGTTTACTATAAATTTGACGGATGCACAATAATTTTTATGATCCTTTATTAATCTCGTATGTCTACATATTCCCCCAATGTTCATCATAACAACAACAACACCAACAACAAACAAAAAAGAGGGGATGTAGACTATAGTCTACATCCCCTCTTTTTTGTTTGTTGTTGGTGTTGTTCACTATAGTGAATTAGAGCGTGAGCCTTAATTATCTCACAATGGAGCGAACGCCAGAAATGGACCTCACTTTCAACCCGGAACACAGACCTTTCAGCAAAACAAATTAATTAACACTAAAAATCTAGATGAGATTAGATGCTTCCCCGATGATATATCTGTGTTAGTCCTACACTCATTCTAGGCCTACAGACATAGAATACAAACATGCGTCATGTGCAGGGTCAGCGGCACGTTGACGTTCTCCACCTCAGTAGATCCATATCTGAAAATAAAAAGTACCATAGTGAATGGTTGTAGGCTGTAAATTATGTTTGCACAAAGACTAGATAACAAGTAAGAACAGTAAACTAAAAGCAAGATCTGACCGATAAATGTTTGATCGAAAACCGATCGCTATGCCGGCCAAGGGTGATAACTCTTTCTGACCACGTCGGGACGATTTTTCCAAAGACAAATTTTAACCTTGTTTGTCAATATATTTTGTAACGATAAGTTCTTATAAATATGTGTAGTTCTATCAAACAAATACACATACAATGGCATGTATGAATGAAAACCGTAACGATCTTCTATTAAGACCGGATTACTATATCTATAGATCTATCTATTGGTTGTTAAAATTGTAATAAGGTGATGTATAAAATACATATACCGTATGAATATACTAAATCTAAGTCTAGCCTGTCTAGACCGGGGATAAAAAACAACAACAAAATGATGACAGACATCCTACCATCTGCTGAATGCTGTGTTGGACACTGCATGTTCCAATATGGCGTGAAATGCGCCCCTGTGAACATACACCCTAATATGGTTATGCTATTTAATTCTTACTGTTAGCTAGTATATATGCAGCAGTAAATGTTAGTCTCCAGAGACGTAGAGACCGTCTTTGTACCTACTAGTAGCAGGTCATAGTTGCTAACAACTCTGTGCTAGTAGTAGGTAATATTTCCTGGATGGTTCGTTAGTCTATCTGTTGCAGTTAATTTCGCCTCTTGCCTTAATTGACAGACAGACAGACAGACAGACAGACAGACAAATTTATTCGGTACTTTAGGCCATACAATGGAAATATACTGTATACTTATATACTGCATACTGGGTAGATTTAATAAAGATTTACCGTTCCACACTGTTTCCTTTCGATGTTCATGACTTGGGAGAGACATTTACCTAAGCCTTTTATAATTTCTTCGTTTTCAGCTGACATAAGTCTTATAAAATTCTCAATAGAGGGAGGGGTAACGAGACGCTTGGGAAGAGTTTCTTCTTGAGTTTTTTCTTGCTCTAGAATATTGGTCACAAATCATAAGAACATGGAATTCATCTTCTACATGGTTATGTCCCTTTGAAAAACAGAAAGTGTAGACACGTTCATTATATGGGATGTTGTTGTGACGCCCCAGTTCGACAGCAAGTCTGAAATTATTACATCGGAACATGGCTATACGTCTACGTTGGTAAGAAGACATATCACAAGTTATATATGATTCAACATTTAGTAATGACTTGAACTGTGAGTAGTAATTGCATTTCGTTGATGATGTCAGGGAGAAGTGCCAATATTGAGTGAGGCAGTCGTAAAATCTTCGTTTAAAATCTGTCATGAAATGTTGAATATTACCAATGTCTTGGCTTAGCCAAACAAAACCAAATCCAAACTGAAATAAAATCATTCTAATATGTGATGCCCATGTATTTTACCATTATCATCAAGAGATGTTAGTATATAATAAGCTTGGATGGGTAGCCTGTGTTGTTCCATCTGAATTAGTCTGCAGCAGTACTTGACTGCTCTTGACATGTAGTTATACTGTAGGGGGATCCTAGCACAGTCTCCTAGAACCATGTTGTTGTTGGTGAACTTATTTACTTTCAAAAAGGATTTGCAGAATCTGTTATGGACACTCTCAATAATGTTACAGTAGCTGGTTCCCCAGATCTCTGATCCATAGCATAGGATTGGTGAAATCATAGCATCAAAAATATTAAAAAGATCATGGTGATTAATGTATCCAAATTGTTTTTGATAATTATATATTGATAGAAGTGCTTTCCTTGCCCGGGCTGCTAGACATGCTTGGGTCTTGGTCCAAGATAACTTTGGTGAGAAAATAATTCCTAAATAGCTGTACATGTTGACAACTTCTATCTGTTGACCATTCAAAAACCACTTTTCATAACTGCGAAGAGGACCTCCATTCAGAAATACTATTATTTTAGTCTTATTCAGATTGACTTTCATGCCAGTATCATCATAGAATTTCTCAAGGGTCTTTATTTTCTTTTGAAGCTGTTAAGCAGTATCAGAGACGGTTGACACATCATCAGCAAATAACAGAGCAAATACATCAGGGATATGAGTAGATATAAACACACCTCTACCACCTTCTTCCTCCAACATTGAAACTAACAGATTAATGAATATGATGAAGATCTTAGGGCTTAAGATACACCCCTGACGAGTACCCATGGTACACTTGAAGTATGGCGATAGTCCACAATCAGTTCTCACACATGCTCATAGTGTTGAATACATCTGAATTATAAACTTGAGAAATTTACCTTTAACTTTAAGTTGAAGGAATCTGTTAAATAACATTTTGTGGTTCACACTGTCAAAAGCTTTTGTAAGTCTATAAAAAGACAATAGATTCAGATTCTTTATTACAGTATAAAGGCCAAAGGCCCATGCTTGATTTTATTCACATGTACTGCGCTTACGCTAATATAAAGGCAGATGTACAATGTCAATCATATGCAAGAAAGTTGGTACATGTTTCACATGTTGACAATAGTTGTTTGACATTGAGACATTATGTTTCAATGAACTATAAATATCACTCATCATTTAAGAGTGCAGTTCCGTATTGATAAACTTTCTGTAAATACTGACAAGTATCATGAATAACATTATAGTTACCTGATGACCTAATACTTTTGCAAGAACGTGTGTTACATGTTTCAAATATTACCAACAGTTGTTTAACATTATGAATAGTATGTTTGAATGAACTATAAATATCACTCATCCTTTAAGAGTGCAGTTCTGTTTTTATTAACTTTATGTAAATACTGACAAATATCATGAATAACATTATAGTTACCTGATGACCTAATACTTTTGCAAGAACGTGTGGTACATGTTTCAAATATTACCAACAGTTGTTTAACATTATAAATAGTATGTTTGAGTGAACTATAAATATCACCTTCCAATAAAACCTTCCATTTCTCTTTGAAAAATATTTCTTGACCATAGCATGTAGGGTAAATATGTGGTCAATAGTGGAATATTTTTTTCTGAAGCCAGCTTGAAATTCAGAAATAATATTGTTTGTATCACACCAATGTTGGAGTCTGTTGTTAACTACTGTTGTAAGCACTTTACACAGTGAATTTATCAAGGAAATGCCTCTGTAATTATTTGGGTCTGTGAAGCTGCCTGATTTGTGTAGGGGACAAATAACCGTTTTACCGTAATCAGGGAAGTAATGTTTGAATCACGCAGTAAATGACCATGTAATTTGAAACAGCCGCCTTCTCTCGGACATATTTCTTCCGGTTCGTTACAGTCTGACTGTTGTAGTTATTTTCGCCTCTTGCCTTAATTGACAGGTCCAATGAACATTGTTTTAATCCCACTCTCCGTTGATTGGCTACTGACTGTGTAGGCGTGTCAAGTTATGTGCATAAATTAAACGATCACCTGATTCATGTCACGCCACTCATGTCATAGCCGTCTCTTAATATTTATGCGTGACCCTGGGGTCAAACTCCAAAACGAGGCTATCCCCGCAAGCTTTCAAAATGGCATCGGAGCATCGCCGTGTCCTCGAATGCGTTTCCAATGCGAGGTGAGATAAATCTATGAGTTTTCATCGTTGTTCCGGTCGATTTATCTTTGCGGAAACGATGACTGGCAGACATCCGACAAGTTATAGGGAAGTTGTTCACCG